AGACTGCCCAGCGGCATTTTCCTCTTTTCGCGGGGGTTGAAAACACGTGTTTTGCTCGTTCAGAGGCGAATAGTTCTAAGGGGCGGCGATTATTTGACAGAATTATAGGTTGGAAACATTCCTCTTTGCGCGGGAAAGAAAGGGTCTGTCATCTTGTTGAAAGTTCTGAATTTCTGAGAATTTTAGAGGCTATTTATTACCTTTTTTCTAGTTGGCTAGAGGGAGTCCAAGTTTCTTTAAGATTGGTTAAACTTTTAATTTTAGTGTTGTTTGAGCCAATAGTGATTTTGAGGCGTTTCTTGGTGAGTTTAAACGGAGTTTTCTTAAGCTGTTGCAAGGGAGAAGAACGGAGATTTTTGCGACGGGTTTTGGTGAGATTTGGTCCAGTTTGATCGACTTTGAGAGGAGCGTCACCCGGCGACCCCTTGGGGGCGACCGCGGTTACGGTTAATATTGGTGATCTCCGTGGCACTGGCAGCGGCGACCGGTCCTAGCTCATCGCGAGCTCCTTGCGGTTAAATTTCGGCGTAATTGGCAAAAAGATCTGGGGCTAAGTCCAGCGTCTTGTCTCTGACGTTTTCCATGTGTGGAAGAGCTTTCTGAATTGCTCGCACTGAAGTTCCAGTTTGCTTTGAAAAGTATGGAAAAAGAGGGAAGTCGTCATCTCCTGCTGTCCATCTCCTTCCGTTATCTTCAGAGGGTCTTCGAAATAAAAGGGAAGACTTATTATTATTTTTTTGGAGTTAAATGCTGCTGGACCGAGTAGTACTATAAGAGAATTCTCATTATGCTATGAACCCACATCAGTATCGGTTTTCCGAACGAGGATGATGTTTGGCTGTTATGTTTTCGACGTTTTTTGACTGGATCCCGGCAGCTTCCCGAGGCTCTCAAACTAGTGTACGCGGATTCTGTGAGCAAAAGTTTTATTTTTATTCTGCTTTCTTTTATAAGTAAATATTTAGGATTTTGAAATGATAAATTCTAAAGCTCAGCTGATTTTTTTTTATGTAGATTAAAATTCGGCTATTTTAATCAATCAGTCAATAGTTGAGAAAGCGTTATGAATAATAAATAGTTGAAAAAGTGTTAGCTATGTTTTAAATGCTTAATTGTCATGAGTTTGAATTGAGTACATACTTAAAAGATTAACAGGAAGTGTTTCTCTATGATTTTTGTATTAATGGAATAATTTTTAAAATGAGATTGATATGAAAAAAAAAACTATGAGTATCTTTTAAAAAGATTGTGTAGGGGTAGTCTGGGCAGCTATCTTGAATTATAAGATTTGAATTATTTAATAAATGTGTTTATTATTTTTATTATTGTATGTTTCTTTCAGTTTGATTGTGGTCTACTGTAGGTCACCCATGTGATCCTTACGGAACATGGTTATTCTTTCGAACCCGGGTAACCATATTGCGGTAGTAGAAAAAAATATAAGTTTTAAGTGTCGTTGACTATACGATCGGCTTATTTAATTTATTATGATTTGATGAGTACACTTCTTAATTGTGAGATGTATCATTCCCTGGGGTTTTGAAGAGTTCTGTGTTGCATTTTAAATGTTGTTTTTTAGGGCTATCTCTAGATTTGTATTGAAATTTATGTGTTTTCAGGTTCGAGATCTGAATTAGTTTTAATTTAGTGAGAGATAGCAGATTGATGATTTTGTTGTGGAAAGTGCATTTAACATTTTGGTTTTGATAAATAATCCTTATTTTAACAAAACACCAGGGAGGATATTTTCTTTGATTTAAAGTGTTTAGTTTTTGTCGCGGCACCAAAAAGAAGTCAGTTAAGTCAGTTTAAAATTTAATTAAATTGAAAAAGTAATTTTAATTTTCCCCTTTTTTCTACGTAACACACGCACAGAAATTTTTACTTAATGCACATTTATATGAAAATGTTACATTTTTGCACAAATTAAGAGAAATATTGCACGATAGAGCTACGAAACTGAAAGGAAGTTTATGTCAGTCATTGCATAACCAACAAAATTAAATCATTTTTCAAATTTTTAAGAAGGCTATTAAATTATATTTGTTTTTTACAGATAACGTGTCAGTTTACGTTAGGTATAAAAAATAAAATCTAAATACCAAGTTAAATATAAATCGTATTTGCTTCAAAAAGTGTATGTAATCAAATAGTTTTTGTTGCCAAATGAAGAGAGGAAAAAATATTTAATTATGATATCAATGGTTATAATTCCATAATCGGGGTGAGTGCCAAGCTTGGCGAGAGTTTTTTTATTTGGCGCGATTTTAATTTGGTTGTATGTTTCTTGTGGCAAACCTAGAGCTTTATTTCGGTAACTGTAAGAGCGCGAATTTAGTGTAACCGGATTTTTTAAAAATTTAATTTTGAAATACTATGTTTGTTTTTTAAAAGTTTTACTGTTTAATATTATTGTTATATATATGTTTAATATTATATTTATATAAATATTTGCAGAAGGTTAAGCTGTTGTTGGTGAGAGAATGTTGGATTTCATATGACATGAAGTTTTATAATTTATGAATGTTTTCATTTAATTTTTTTTTTTTTTTTTTAGTTTGTTTTTCTTGCATGTGACAATCCAAAGATGTGGAATATTTAAAGCTTTGAACGAAAGTTGTTTAGTGTGTTTGAATTCCACGACGATAGTAACTTGAATATTTTAGTTAGTTTTACGATGCTGAATAAGCATAATTTGCTATTCTGTTTACGTTTAAAACTGACATCGCAGTGCTCTGATCTGATAAGTGTATACATTTATTTATTCAATAATTATTTACAAGAATTGTTCATTCTACTATTTTATGATGAATTACATATATATAGGATTATGCTTTTACTTGCAAAGCTGTTGGACTTTGTTTTACTCTAGTATTTAATCATCTCATTTTACTATTCTGTTTACATAAAATAACGGCGTCTCACTACTGCAAAACTAAAAAGTTACTGTTCTGTTTAGGTTTAAAAATCACATTTTAGTTCTTTCATTTAGTGCGCCTAAAATATTCGCCGAATTTTGAAGGCCAAAATAGTTTAGCGCCAACTTACCCCGCTTATGGAATTTTAGCCAAATTAATAATCTTCGTTTTAAAATTTAGCTATTTCATTACATGTTCATTTAATTTCAGCAACGGTTAATTTTCAGTTGAATTCAGTTCTTTCAGTAAGAAACTCGATTTTCGGAAGAACATTTATTTGGCGGTAATTATAAACGCGATAAACAGTCAAATATACTTAATTTTTGTGTTGCTTGTGTTTTGGCTGCTTGTGTTCAAAGGCAATAATTGTAGCTAATAATACCCAGATATCACTGATACTTGCCAAATCAAAACTAGGACTCATGAAATGAAGATTAACCCCAATATCTCTTAAAATTTTGGAATAATATTGCTTTTTAACAAGAGAAAATTTTGGCACTTCCTTATCAAAATGGTCACCATCTAAGCATTTGAGTGACATTTTAAATTTACGCGTTACAGACTGCTAGATTAAAATTTGCAAATTTTGGCGGCTTGGTGCCAATTTTGCCGATATGGGTTAACCACATAAATTTGGAGGTACCTTTACATTTAACATTGTTTAATTTACTATATCAAGCACTCGAAAGCTATCTGACTAAGGGGAAGGATGCCTTCGTGGATGACATTTTAAGAGGAACTAGCTCATATATACGTTAAGCATAGGAAAATTTACAAAAAACGCCCATGCAGCCAGCCTCAGACCAAAATCATAGTTTGGTCCGAACCCCAGACCAAACTACGATTTCAGCGGTTCAGTCTTAAGCGATTTTACAGCTCGGGGGTTGGTGGGCCGTTTATGTTTAGTAATATATGAAGTAAATAATACCTTTATAGTTTGAATTTGTGTTAGCTTTAATATATAACTTAACATAAATAATAATATAAATCAAAACCTAGAAATTTAATTACTAAGTTATAAAGTCCGCAACCATAAATGTTTGATTCTTTCTTAGGGCAATTTCAAATGTCGCAAAAGACTTATAAGGTAGATGCTTTAGCAAGGAAGTCCTTTTTCATTTTAGTTCTTTTCATTTTCCTTCTGTATAGATAGAAGGTAAGATTTCTCATCTTTGCTAATTTCTTCAGTAACTAAAGCAAAATCAAATTAAATAATGCTAATTTCTGGATAATAACCCAGTTTTAATTTGACGTATTTAGTTGGATTGTAAATTAAATTAACTATCGTTCATCTAAATCCAATTTTTTTCTCTTTCAGAAGTCGTGAAATTTAATTAACACAAAGCAAGAGAATATTACACATTTGAAACACGAGAAAAAGTATATTTAATATCTGTTAATACAAAAAATACTATAAGCTAAACATTAGGCACATCTAAGCCAAGTATATCCATTTCGTGGAGTTTATAGTTAGATTTACAGCTTAACTATGCATCCAAACGATTGTTTCTTCTCTATCAGTACAATGGACATATTAAAATATCTAACTTATTTTGGTAAAAGTTTACAATTGGGCGCCCCTAGTTTCTTTGGCAGTTCTTTTCGCCAAGATCGGCGCCAGGAAGACACAATTTCAAGATGGCCGCTACACAAAACCAAAATAAGAAGTCAAAGAATTGCTCCGACTCTGTGTCCCTGTACACATCAATCTGTCTTCACTTAAAAAAAATCCCAGAATTTCACAAACTAGGCATTGCCCACTGCCTTAAATTTTTCCATGTACGCATCAATCTATTTTCATTTAAAAAAATCAGGAAGATAAGACAAGGTTAAAACTATCATGATAACCAGAAATGAGGTTTCATCGCCAAAATTAAAAAAAAAATCTGTCGCTAATCTAAGGGGCACCCAATTCTACACTAGTACACACTATACTAAATTCTATACTAATTTTTTATTTAAAAAATTAAACATAAATTAATAAGTAATGTTTTGATCAAAAAGCATAAACTATTAAGTAATTTTTTGACTAGAGTAAGAACTTATTTTTCGCCGCTAAAAAGGGATATTTAAAAGGATTACCTCTCTTTCTTTAGGCTGAAGAACCAAACTAAAAAACTTCAAAAAATAAAATTTACCAGTCACATAATTTAAAATTTTGTATCTTGAAACAATCTGAAGTGTTAACCAAAGACAGGCATTTCGAAATACATGAGTTTGAAATATGATTGAAATAACAAGACTAAGATCAAAAGTATGTGCTCGCGCCCACGTAATACAGAAACATATTATTTTAGTAAATTTTTGGAAAACTAAGTAAACGTGCTTGATGAATCTTGAAATATTTCGTAGTTTGTTGTTAAATGTATCAAACTATTAAAGCATCTAACTATCTTTAAAAAGTGCATTTCACGAGTAGCATTCTAAGAAAGTTTTTCGTTAAGTGTAAAAGAAAATTATCTTCATGAGAAAATGTATTCCTACTTGAAACGTACCTAAGATATGTTATATCTTAGATATAAACACGCCGAATTTATTTATGCCTAAACACGTATGCCTAAACACGCCGAATTTAATTTGTTTTTGAAGTGTATTAAAAGATAAAAAAATAATTCAAATAAATTCACGTGCGATAACGGTAACAGCAAAAATAAGTCTAACCATGACTATGATATTACTCGTAATTTTCTACTTTGAGGTTTCTGCTCTTGTCTTGAAATTGTTTGCCCTTAGAACTTTGGGCCTCCTTTAAGCAAGTGAAATCCGAAAAGCCTTCCTTCAACTTTCAATAAGTGCCGACGTCTGCTGGCTCATTAGAAATCAAATAATTCATAAGAGAAAGATTTTATGAAAATTATCATATTTCTCTTCAAAAGTGAATCCTGGATTAAAGTTGGTGAAATGTTCACGTAGATTTAATCTTAATTTTCAAAAAACATTTCTTTGCTTTGTTAAAATATAGTTATATAAATTGTCATACCCAAGGTTTTTATAAATTTTTGGGACATAAAAAAATAATGTTCATTAAAGATGTCTTATTATAAGTTGTAGAGACATTAGAAGGAGCAGAAGACGTGAAAAATGACCAATGCCCTCGCCGAAACTCGAATCTCGGACCTCTCGAATATGCGCCGAGTGTGCTGGCCATTACACCAGAAGGTATGCTAAGAAGGCGGGAGAAATACCTTATATACTCCCCCTTTTAATGGGCGAGTGAGGATTAGGGGACCCAATTGCCAAATCCTGGTGGTGTAGAAATCCACCACATTTTCTTTTAGTTTGTTCGCCCCTGTAAAGACATTAGGTTATTTCGAAGCAGGAGACATGAAAATAAGCAATGCCATCGCCGGGACTCGAGCCACGGAACGTTCGAATACGCTCCGAGCGTGCTGACCACTACACGACGAAGGTATACTAAGAAGGCTGGAGAAATACATTATAAATGCTTTATTATCTTTGATAACTTGCAGTAATGTTTGCTAAGATTTTTAGAGTAACTGCTCTCTATGGGATAGCGTATTTTAGAAAAATTCATTTGATTGCAAGGTATCTTATTCACATGCAAATTAAAATAAGCTTATATATTGAAGATATCATAGACATACATATAACATGAAAAAAATTTGATATGGTGTTTGCTTATACTGTATTTTATGCTTCTGATAAGGAAACACAGTTTTAACAGTTCATGTTGCAGTTCGTCCCGAAAGGTTCACTGAACTGCTTCTAATGCGAGAGTGTCTTCAGCCTATTAGCAGTTTTTGTACATAAAACATCTGCTACGAATTTTGTACATATGTAAATAATTTTAGTCAAATTATATGCAAAATTCTGATATCTTTTGTATAATATAATGCCTCATGAGACGAAGCTCTGCCGAAAAAATAAGATGACAGGACCAAGTCTATTTAATATGGAGGTAAATGTCTAAATTGGCAAGATATCGCCAAGTTGGCAATGATTTTAGCAGCTAATTTTTGTGACCAAATGTGGCGAAAATTCACAAAAAGTCTCCAAACTTGGCGACCATTTGGCGACATTTTGGTTCGGTCCTTGTATAACTGCAATTGCTACTGTAATTGATCCTTATTAACTAAATGTAACGATATTCGGACCTTTTATGAAACTTTAGCTGTATAAGCCTTCCAGTAATTTCGAGAAAAGGAAGGTACTGGGAATTAAGACAGGAGCTCTCAGTTTTTCAGCTCAGAGTAGTGTTCGGAGTTTTGAGAGATACCCAGTGCGGGCTTCGTTCTTTAGATGCGCTTTGCAGTGCATTGTGTTTAAATTTCCAGTAGTTCTTAATAAATTCGAGTAGTTCTTAAGTGTTACTTTGAAAAAAGAACTTGCATCAAGTTTTCATCGATTCTGTGTGCATTCAATCCATTACGAACTCGTACGCACGCAACACATCGATGTTCATTGATGTGATCGGTGATCATCAAAGAAATACACAAAGAAACTATCGTAAAAAATTACTAATACATTTTAGAAGTGGTTGCTGCAATGCACACATCTAATGATAAGAATCACGGAAGCGAACATGAACGGATTAGGATTAGAATTACTTAATTTGTGACAAAGCGTAAAAAGAATGTCTGCCTAAGGAAGGAAAGAGATGTCGGTACTCTTTTGTTATCGGGACCAGATTCAGAAGTGTATATATGTATGCAGTATGTATGCATGTATGTGCGCATATGTATGGGTGTACACATACATATACATACGTACACACAATATATACATGAGGACATAAACTCTCCATCCGTCCACGCATGCATACATACATACATTTCTGTATCCGGTCTGTGTCCGATAACAGAACAGTACCAGGTTGCCTTTATGGAGGATGGAATTTACATTACGCATAGAGAAAAACACGAAAGCTTTCATGCAGCCCACCCGTTTGCCGAAATGAATTGGGATATAACCACGCTTGTTCAGAGGTTTCATTTTTTGACAGCTGGTGGGCCAAATACTAACAAAGTGGAAGCGGAAGTTAACAAGGCGCATATAGTACATACCTGTACTACGTGCCATGCAAGCTGAGATTGCCAGTTACGTAAATATTACATTATAAATGATATTTATACGAAATAAAAATTGGTCCTTATTTACATTCCCTAGAGAATTCTTTAGGTAGCCTCATCAAGTTTTCATCGATTAAAACAGGTAACTCCCTGTTTTAATTTACTAAGTCCTATTCAGAATGACGTAATTGTGATTAATTTAATGCGCCAAGAGATTCGATTATCTAGCGAAATTATGCATTGGGCTGTTATCTTAATAAACGTAAAATGATTCTTCGAAATAATTTAAACACATCGCGGGGGACACTTTTTGCTGGAAGATTTGCCGATAATTTCGATTGTGTTAAGTGATTAATTGATGATTTCGTACAAGGTTCTTGAAAGTCGAAACGTATATAGTTGATCAAATCTAATCTTTGAAAATGGGTGTCGAGCCTGTGATTCGTAATTTGTTTCAGAATCATTTTCTCAGCACGGAAAAAAGACTGATCAGGTTGTCAGGTTGGCGATATCTCGCCAAATTACCGAGACCCATTTACTCAATGTTCAATGGACTTGCCCCTGTATTCTTGCATCTCCGGTATAGCTTCTCTCTTTATAGTATTTTTTGCGTTACATTACACAGAAAAATACAACAATTTCACATATAATTCCACTAAAATCATCTATCTATGTTCAAGATTCGTAACAATAATATAAATTAATAAAAATAATACTTTTAAGTAATATTAACTAATAACAATAATTATTATATGATAATAATGGAAACATTAATATTAATACTATTTCCCTTACTCTTGGTGTTTATGATGCGTATGATGATTATTATCACTCATCATCTTAATCGTAATTATTATTATTTTGGATATGCTTTGCAAAATTTAAGACTCTAAATAGCTTCATATTAAGAAAGCAAAAACTAAGCAAAATATTTATACATTTTTGATCTGGTTCTAATATTATTTTTGCGAAAATAAAATAATTATTATAATATGAACTTCGCTAAGGACTGAGTAAAAATCACGCAAAATATCGTTCATGTTTATTGCTATATTTCTTGAATAAGGCAAATTCTGGAATAAACTTATGAATTCTAACCTTTTATGACTAGATTTAAAATTTACCTTCTTTAGATTAATGACATTGTATTTTTTTATTCCTGGTTTGTAATAATTAATTATATGTCAGAGTTAACAGCGAACAAAAATTTAGAAACCTTAAAATTTCCTTCAATTTCTATTTCTGTATTATTATAATCTGATCGAATAAAAGCGGACTGCTTTATTGAGAGCCCTCCAACATATTACGGGTTTTCAGCGGCAGAAAATGTTTTATCAAAAGTACATCCTAATTTATAAAATCAACTCAAAGTCTTGATTGCGCTGAAAGAAGAGAATGAAGAGTTTACGTTGAAGTAATAAATTTTCGTAAGCTCAGTAAATGTCAGTACTTAACTAAAGGAAGTAATGTGGAACAATTGACTTTACCGACCACAATTTATTTTCATTATAAAATAAGGTCAAGTATAAAATTAGCTCTTAAGGCAATTCGAAATATAAAAAAAAAAAGACAAATAGCACAAGCATAATCCCAATTTCCTTTCTGCAGTACTTCCGTTGTTTGCAAATTGACCTTACTTCAAATATAAAAGAATTATTTATGCTATCGAAATTTTGGTAGTTCTTAGAACTGCCACGAGTTTGAGGTTATGGAAACCCGATTTTTCATTATTTTAGCACTTTTAGTATTGTCTAGTTCTTTCTTACTACTTTTCCCTGTAATCTAATTCTGCTACTTTATTTAATAAAAGCTACTGAAAACTGTTTATGAAATTGGAAATTTACTTGCTTGGAATTGAAAAAAAAGCACACATAATCTGTGTATATGCATATATGAATGTTCCCCGCATTGGGAAAAGACGACGGCACATACAGCCATCAAATTTTAAATAACGTATTCCTTCACCCGAACAGGTGCAATGGAAGCCCGAATTTAAAATTTGTTTCATTATTTATTTCATATTTTGTAAACTTTCAATGAATTTTTGATTAACAAACTCAACAATCTGAAAGCGAGTCGTGGCAACACTGTAAGAAATAAAACATTTTTATCTCCAGTGTACGAGACTATTGCCTTCGGAAAAATATTTATCTTTCAATTTTAATTAATAAACTCAG